TTTAAGTGCACCCATCTTTATCTGTATAAGAATTCGAGTGAGGCATACATATATATTCTCATACTGAGAGAACGCCATGTTGAGGTATAGTGATCAAGCATGTAGTTGTGTGATGTATGCCATTTGAATGCTCATTGTTGAAGTTGAAAATGTTGAGGCTATCTTGTTAATGACTGTTGACCATGCTCGGTTTTAGTTTTTTATCGTTTCTTTTCTTTTCTTTTCTTTTTGTTCGGGACGAACAAAGGTTTAAGTGTGGGGGAGTTGTTTGTCCTATTTTTGTTGCGTTTTTCGTGTTTATTTTATCTTTCTTTTTCTCCCATTTTAGGTCGTTTCTTTAGTTTTTAGTCCGTTTCGTGTTTTATTATGTGTTTTCCTTCATTTTGAGTCCTTAGGTGTTTTTCGTTTGTTTTCCCGGTTTTCTTCGTGTTTTGTCGTTTTTGGTGTGTAGGTCGGGAGCTTCGAGAGAATTTTCTCTTCAGGAAAAGTTGGTTTCGAGAGCACAATTAGATATATGGGTTCGTTAGCGACGCGTAGCAAAAAACGAACTCAATTCCGAGTTCGGACGAGCCCAAACGAGCCCGAAACGTAAAATGGCACAGTGCAGTCCAAAGTTGCGACTTGCGAGAGAAAAGTCGCGACTCGCGAGCCTACGTCGCGACTCGCGAGCCTACGTCGCGACTCGCGAGAGCAATGTCGCGACTCGCGACTTTAACAGAGCCTCCGACCAGCTGCGCGACCCCACGACCCGTCTCACGAGACCTGTTCGACCCTGTTTTTATTTTTCTCCGTTTTTACTCGTTTTAGCTCCGTTTTTCGAGCTCTATATATAAAAACGACCCCCCAGACCTAAGGAACAATCCCCAATATCGTTCCTTTCAATTTTTCTCTCCAAAAGCTCAATATTATTAGGATAAATTTCTCCACTTTTTTTTTTTCTCTCATGTTTAGATTGTTGGACACAAAGATATTTGGATTGAAATCTTGCAACTCTTAATCCGATTGTAATTTTTTCTATTCTATTTTATTATTTTAAATTGGTTTTATGTTCTTAATTTCGGTTAACATGAAATTGAATCTAAGCATGAGGTAATCCATTCACCTAGGGTTAGGGATTTTGATTCTTGTTTCGAATTATGATGAATGTGTTTTGTTCAATCTATACGAGTTGTGTGAATTATATGGTTAGTTGATTGATCACCATTCTAACCTAGTTGATCGACGTTTAGAACCGAGAGGGGAGACGTCGGTCGATTTAGGCTCGTATAGAGTAGACATGTTCGTAAAAGTATTGTCTATATGTTACTTGTTTGAATGAGTTTATCGTTTATGTTTGTGCTCTTGTTACGAAGAGTTATTGAGCATAACCCTCTAGACGTGTAGGCTTGTTAAATCTCGTAACCGAACAAATAAGCGTTCAACATAGTTTAAGACTTGATGAGATTTCCCGACCCCTAGAACTTCTTCTTTTTCTCTAGAAATTTAATTGTCATTTCTTTAAATTGTTTTTCTAGTTCTAGCTTGTTTTAGTTGATTCCCCAAATCAATCGTGATTAGAGTGTTTAGGACTTATTTTCTTTTCGTGTGTGATCAAGACCAACGCTAAATGCCGAACCGTTCGGTACTCGGTAAAAAAATAAAATAATTTGCTACAACAGTGGTCATGGCGGAGCGCCCCGTCAACGTTCACCCGCGACTCCGACCGACGAGGAGGACGATGAAGACACCATCAGCGTCGACAACCCTTTCGCCTAGGAGCAGCGCCGCAGGCCCGATGACGATGTCCGATTTGCGCAGGGGGAGCGTGTCGGAGGTCGCGATTTTCGAGGCTTTGGTGGAGGTGATCCTGGCCGTCGTCTTCAGGTGTACCAGCGAGGGGGTGATTTCTTTGAGGATGATGACGAGCCGATGGGCAGAGGTGATTTCCGTCACCGCCACTTAGGGTTTCGCGAGGAAGATGACTGGTGGTGGGCGCACGGTGATCAACGGCGGCGCGACGGGCCGGTCTTTGGTCCTTACGGACAACGACGCCGCGACGGGCTGCAGCAACGAGAATGGCCGGAATTTGCACAGGCCGATCAGCACCTCCGCGGATGGTTCGACCACGGCGTTGGTCGAGGCCGCGAACCGCAACGACGTGATGTGCGCAAGGTGGACGGCGGCAGTGAGTCGCGCGGGGATCTCGGGTTTTGGGTTGAGATTCCCGAGTTTTCGGGCAGAGCGGATGCAGCGGAGTTCCTCGATTGGTGGGCTGCCGTTGAGTCCGTCCTCAAGTTTAAGGAGGTCCTTGACGAACGGCGTGTAGCGCTTGTCGCTACGCGATTTCGTGGACGGGCGGCGGCATGGTGGATGCAACTCACGAGTTTGCGGCATCGCCAGGGAAAGCCAGAGATCTCCACTTGGATGCAATTCCGTAAGTACGTGGAACGTGAATTTCTCCCTTTTAATTATGATCATGTGGTTTATCAACAGTTGCATAATTTGCGGCAAGGCCCGCGTTCTGTTTCTGAGTATACGGAGGAATTTTATCGTCTCTTAACTCGTGTGGAGATACGTGAGTCGAAGGGCCAGTTGATTGCTCGCTATGTGGGGGGTTTGAATATTGCTATACAGGATATGCTTAGTCTTGTTGTTTCGGAGTCGGTTTCGGATGCACATCAACGGGCCCTAATTGTGGAGAAACAGTTAGCTCGAAAGGTGGGCCTGACCAGTGGTGTTGCAGGTGCGGGTTTGCATTATGGGCGTGGGATACGTGCTTCGGGCATGCACTCGGGCTCAGGGCCGACAATGGGGCGCGGACCGACGACCAACAGTGGGCTGCCGCAATCGATCGGCGATTTGAGGACGGCGCCAACCGCGAGTATGCAGCGGGCTGGTGGCGGGTTTCGATGCTTTGGGTGCGGTGAGCTTGGGCATCGACAGGCGGCTTGTCCAAGAGGGACCGGGTCGCGTGCTTTGTTCGCCGAGGAGACAGCAGAATATTCGGCAGCTGCAGCATATGATGGCCCTCCTATTTTTGACAAAGAGCCCGAGGTTCCAGAGGTGCATGTCTCGGGAGACATGGGACACGCGCTTGTCCTTCGTCGCTCTCTTTTGTCCCTGCCCGTCATTTCCACTGTTGAGGGCCTGCGTCGACAGCTTTTCGAATCTATGTGCACCGTGGGCGGCCGGGTGTGCCGTTTTGTTATTGATTCCGGGTCCTGCGAGAACATGATATCTGACGAGGCTGTGGCGAAGCTTGGATTATCGTCAGCGCCACATCCGGATCCTTATGCTCTCGTGTGGATACGGCATGACGACGTTGTCCCTGTGAACAGACGTGTGTTGGTGTCTTTCTCTATTGGCTCTGCATATAGGGATGAGGTGTGGTGCGATGTCGTGCCTATGGATGATTGACACCTTTTATTAGGACGCCCGTGGCAGTTTGATCGTGTCGTGGTTCATAATGGGCGCCTGTATGGATTTCTGTTTGAGGGCAACCGCGTTGTCTTGCATCCCTCGGCTCCCCAGTCGGTTCCTTTGCAATAGACGTCGCCGGCATTGTTTCTTTCTCGGGATGGGCCGCGTGGAGACTTGGTTGGAGCAGTGGACACTCGTTCTGTGGTCTTCGACGTGGGCGATGATGGCTCAGACGGAGACGAGATCGATTTGGATTCGAGAGCGAATCTTTCTCAACCGGGGGAGGATGATGGAGACGAGATCGCCCTCACGTTCCTCGATAAATATGATCGGATGCCGTTGCTTAATTAATAATTTTATTACCTATTTCCTTGTTATAATTAGATTTCCATATTTATGTTATTTAGAGTTAGGAAAATAATTATGTGGGTTTATCTTATTTAGCAAGTTAGGTTTTTGGGGATTCTAAGATTATATATATCTATATTCTCTTCAGTATCAGAGGGTGAATGAATTTGAGTTTTTCTGTTATTGTGAGTTCTTTACGAAAGAGTATCCCGTATCTTTCCCGTTCTTATTCACGTTCTACATCAAATCCCATCTAGGTACAACAACAATTTTAACTGTAGGTAAATAACAGCGTCCAGATTCATTGAACCCACATCAGTGTGATTTTTCAACTTAATTTTACTGTAGGTAAATAACAGCGTCCAGATTCATTGAACCCACATCAGTGTGATTTTTCAACTTTAATGTACATCATGTCAGCCCTATATGATAAAATGGATCTTCAAAATATTTCACTCATTAATGAGGTGCACATGCACAGTTTTCATTTTCCTACAAGACACCGTCATGGCATGAGTGTTACTTAAAATTTATATTTAATTAATTTTAAATAAATTTTAAAAAATATTACATTGTCAACTTAACATATAAGTAGTTGACAACACAAATAAAAAAAATCATAAAAATAAAAATAAAAAAAATACATAAATGGATGTTTCTCACTTGTGTTGTCAACCTAGTTGTACACTAGGTTGGCTGAATATCATTTTTCATTTATTATTACTTATATAAAATGAGGCTTTTTTATTTGTTTGATTTGTCCATCTTATACTATAATTTCTAATACATAGTAATGAATTTATAGATAACTTTTTTTAATTGATATATAATTTTATTAAATTTTAGTATTAGGAAATGATTTAATTATATAATAAAAAAAAATAAATTATTTATTTATTTATATATGCAATATGGATATGAAATCAAAACTTATCAAAAAATAATTAATTTGATATATTATATATCGAAAACTGATAACACAAAAAAAA